CTGGAAGTTGGAGGCTCCGATCAGGCCTGGTGTGAGGCAGGGGCTGGGGACAGGGGAGTGTGGCGTGCTCAGGCCAGCCGGGTCTCGGCTCTGTGTGCAGCTGCATTGTGCCCCAGAGCTCCCTGCAGGCCCCGCTCAGCCCCAGGGGCCTGTCGGGATCTCCCTGACACCACTCCTGCTCCTGCCCAGGTGAGCAGAAGCTGCAGTCCGTGCTCGGCACGGCCACTGCACGCGCACGGAGATTGCTGCCTCCCTGTACCCAGCGCAGGCCTCTCTCGAGGCCTGGTATGTCAGTGTGTGTCGGTGTGTGTGTGTAGGTGTGTCTATGTGCACGTGTATACACATGTGAAAGTGCATGTGTGGCTATGTGCCTATGTAAGTGCATGCACACCTGCATGCATGCATGTGCCCACGTGTAAGCGTGTACCTGTGCAGGCAAGGTCACCGCTTGTGCTGCCCCTCTCGGGGAGTCTCCGCCAATCTCTGTCCCGCCCCATCTCCCAGCCCCACCCAGCCCCGCCCGCCCGGCCCAGCTGAGTCAGAGGCTCCGTGCTAAGCTCTTCCCATCCTCAGCATAAACAGCCCTGCGAAGCTGCACCAGGTCCTAACACGCCGGCGCCCGCATGCCCCAGGCCTTTGTTCCGACCCGGGCGGCCGCATGCGCGCTGTCCCCTGTGGTCCTGTGCCAGCCAGCCAGGCCCAGAGCGGGAGGGTGAGGTGGGCCCCAGAATGAGGGGACCAGGCGAGCCGCAGCTGTGCCCCAGGCAGCCCTGGGTTCTTCACTCACCAGGGCTGGTGACGAAACACCCCCATGCCCGTCCATGGTAATGCGAGAGCCTGTTCTTCCCCGGGCCTGGACTCCACGGGACTGGGCACCCACATCTCCAGCTGAGTATGGTCGGGCTCAGCCCCTCTAGGGCCTTCTCTAAGTCTATAACATGCAAATAATAGAACCTAAAGCCAGTGACACTTGTCCCTGGGCTATGGTATGGACCCTAAAGATGGCCAGAGTTGAACCAGCTGGCCCTGCCCCTCCAGGGACCCTCCAACTTTTGTCCTGCCCTAGCGGCCCAATGTGCAGAGCCCTGGCCCCCAGCTCCAGGCTCCTGTGTGGAGCTTGCTGGCCGTGTGGAACGGCCCCTTCCTGAAAACGAATTGAGGAACCTAGCCTCAGCCTCGCAGGCCCAGGTCAACAGGCTGTGCCCAAGGTCAAACAGGAGGAGCGGGAAACTGGAAACTGGCCCAGCTGGGCTCTCCCCTCTGCTCATGGTGACCTTCGAGGGCCCAGTAGTCTGGGAGCAGAGGGCACACAGGTCAGGGCTGTTGTGCTTCAAGTTTCAGCGACACCTCTAGGAGGGTCCCCCACCCCGCCTGTCCCTACCTCCTCAAGAGCCTGCAGCGGGCTTGCTGCCTTGGTCTGCAGGGAGTCTGTGACTGACCTTCGAACCCCAAATGCACAGCATGTCCCGGATGCCGAGATCCTGGGCCTAGGAATGTCTTGGGGGAGATGGAGCTCACAGGGGAAGAACAGGGTGACATGGGGATACAAGGCCTGTGGACCAGGGACAGGGCCTGCTGATGGGGGCGTGGCCTGTAGGTCTGGGGGCAGGGTCACCTTGAGGCCCCATCCCCAGCCTCCCATCCATTCAGCCAGGCATCCTGGGTACAGCCCTGGCCCCACGTGGCCCTGGTACTCAGTGCATGCAGGTTGAAGGACCGCAGCGATGCCAGGGCACTGCCCTCCAACCCTGCACTGCCCCCAGGAAGCAGCTGCCAGGTGGCCTGTGCCCTGTCCCTGCTCTTACTCAGGATGCCATCCTGGGAGCAATCCAGCGTCCCCACAGCCTGGCTGGGTGAGCAGGGCCTTGCTCCAGTCAGTGATCAGGACTGCGTCTGCGCCCAAAGCCTGCTGTGGTCTCACACTGCCCACGCTTGGGTCACACATGAGACCTCAATGCTCCCAGCCAACCTTGGCCGTGGCCACAGAGGGGACAGAGCCGCCCAGTCCTTCCTGGGGATAATGCCAGCCTCCCCGGGGCCTAGTCTGCAAAGCCCTACCGGGGCAGCAAGAGCACATACCTAGGAGCTGCCCTCTGTCCCCAAGGCCTTCGTCCCTGACACCTGGGCTGCACCAGCTGGCCTAGGCCAATGTGGCACACAGCAAGGCCATGGCTGAGCCCCGCTGGGACAGGAAGTACGGGAAGGCCCGTGAGGAGCTTACCCACAGAGCAACAGCAGCGGTGACAGCTGCAGCTCGGTGGCCACAGGCCACTCACGTGAGCCAGGATTAGGGTGGCCCCTATGCTTGGTCATGTTCAAGGCTGGCACATGATGGGCAGTGCTCCCCCTCCCTGGCAGCCAGGTGCGGCCAGGCCACACATGGGCATAGCCTGGCCTGGGCTTGTGCAGCCTAAGGGAAGCTGCCAGGCACAAGGGGACTACGTGAGCTCAGGGAGGCCCAGCGCACCGGCACCACAGGCTCCAGGCAAGGCTGGCATACGGTCCTCGTGGACAGATCTACCCAGAGGGAAGAACCTGGAGGTGCGAGGGCCTCTGCACAGGTGTACGAGCTGTGCACAGGGGTTGGTTACCAGTCAGGGGTTCCCTTCTGCACTCGAGATTAGGGCTGGTCCAAGGTCACAGGCAAGGTCTGCAGGGACTATCCCCCTCTTGAGGACAATCATTAATGAGCACACGTGAGCGGCCACTCCCACCTGTGCCCTGGTGCCCTGCCAGCTCATGTCCAGGCTCCCGTCCATGCACAGCACCCAGAATACCTCTGATGTAGGCCACCTCACTACCCATGATCGCCAGCAGCTAGCTATGTCCTCCTGGGACAGGAGGGACGAGTGGGGGACCAGCCTGGGGGTCAGCAAGACTGCCTGGTGCAAGGTGTAGGCAGGCCCAAGAGGCTGGACCTAAGGATCTGGGGAAGATGAAGCCCCAGGATGTGGTGAGAAGTGGTGACCCGAGTGGTGGAGCACAGGGGATGGGAGGAGGGGCCGGGAGGGATTAGGTGTGGGAAGGCATTAACTTCATCCAAGAGAAGTAGGAAGCTACCGCAGCTTCTAGAGCAAGCAGGGGACATGGTACAGCTTCTGCTTAACCTAGTAACGGGCTGGTGGGGCTGGCAGAAAGGGACCAGAGAAGGCCCGCCAGGGGCAGGGGCAGGGGCAGGGGCAGCTTCAGCAGGGGTGATGACCCTGGCGTGGTGGATAAAGCAGCAGATGCTGAGCCCTACAGCTGACAGCTTCTGGGGTCACTGGGCAAGCAGGGAAGGGGCAGGGCATGCTGGAGGGGGGATCCCTGGCAGGTCAGGCCAGGCGCAGGCAAGACTGCAGAGATAGCAGAGTGGCACGAGAGCAGTGGGGCCCTGCAGGTGGCCCTGGGTGGGACCAGGGGAACAGGCAGGGGTGGCACAGAGGCTGGGGCCTGGGGCAGGGAGCAGAGAGCACCCCCATGCAAGCACTGTGTCACTTCCTCCTGTCAGTGCCTTGGGGACACAATGGTACCCCCCAGCTCCACCACAGGTCCTGAGCCACCAGGCTGATGCTCAGATTACCTGGGGCACCAGGAGCAGGCCAGCAGCTGCATGGCCCAACAGGGACAAAGCGTGGGGCCACGCATTCACTGGGTGCTGGGGCACATGGGCAGAGTGGTGGTGGCCAGGGCAGGTGTCTGGGGTCCCCAGCCACCACCCCTTTGCCCACGTGCAAAGTGACTGTCATACAGCGAGGAAGACCAGAAAGCTCCCCTTCAAGTGGTAGGAGTGACGTCAGGCCTCAGTTTCCCCACGTGGGAGTGGGGGAACAGGAGGGGCCAGGCACGCAGGTGGGCACCAGTGCAGAGCAGGCACCCAGCTGGCACCTGGCAGGCTGGAGCTGCACTTGGGTGGCAGAGCCTGGGGGATGGGGCGGGGCCGCCCTCCTGGCTGCACCAGGTGCCACCCACAGCTGCTTACCGCAAAGGGGCCCGCAGGGGCTTTCTCTGGTGCCACCCCAGCCCCACGCTGCATTCCCAGCCCCGCAGAGCTGGGTGCTGGCCTCTGTCCCGGCAGCTGTGGCCCTGCTCCGTGGCCCAGGCTCCTAGGATTGGAAGGTCATGTTGTGCCTGCAGGCTGGGCACCTGCAAGCCTGGCAGTGGTCACCCCCAACTGACCCTCTGACAGCCTCTGGGCAGGCAAATCCCTGCTGCCCCTCCCTTGGGCCTCCTGCAACAGTTTACTGAGCACATATGCCTGCAGGGGAGGGGAGGGGCTGCGGGGACCCAGATGAGAAACTGCGGCCCAGAGCTGCCTGGGGTTGTACCTGAGGTCACACAGCATATTGAGTTGTGGCAAGCAACAGAAGTCCCGTGTGTCCTCTAAGCTACTCCAGGTGCTCTCAGGGAGGACCCTTCCTGGGCCTCAGTTTCCTTGTCTGTGAGCAGGCGTGGTGAGGTCAGCGTCCCGGATGTGAGAACAGAGGGCAGCCATGAGGACCCCAGGACTGGGCCATGGGCACAGACTGCCACCCTCACTTGGCACAGCATGGTAGGGGCCCTGCTCGCCACCTGCCCTGGGCCAGCGCCTGGAACACCTCCCACCCTGGGCAGGACATCACTTCCTCCTCCTAGAGCCATTCCCGGGCCTCATCAGGCCAGCTGTCCTCCTCCCAGGTCAGGAGTGGAGGCCTGGCGACCGCAACACCTGGGTCTACGTGGCTGCTGGGCACCTGAGACATGCCAGACCCTGCCCCGACCCCAGCTGCCAGGCTCTTGCGCCCACCGGATGGAGTCCCCTGCCCCGTGGCCCAGAGCCTGGGCCAGCTGCATATGTGTGGGGTCTCCCTGTCCACACGGGGCGGAGTCCAGGGCCTAGTCCCTGCAGAGTCCCGCTGGGGGCCCCATGGTCAGGCCTGGGCAAGGCCAGTGGCACGGAACCAAGACAGCAACATGGCAGGAAGGCGGGCACCAGCTTCTGCCCTTTGGCCAGCCGGCCCGCGGCCTAGAGGCACCCTTACCTACTCGGAGCTCTTGCCCAAAGACAGTCTTCTCGCCAAGGGCGGAGCAGTTCCAGCGGCCAAAGCGGAACTGGTACTGGCACTCGTTGATGCCCATCTGTGCCCCCTCCCCTATCACGATGATGGCATCGGGCCGGCTCTGGCAGATGGCGCGCTGCCGCGGGGCCAGGCCAGGAATCTTGTTGCATATGATGTTGGCTCCCAGGGCCACCACGGACGACAGTGCTCTGCAGAGGCAAGGAGAAGAGACAGGCATGAGGCTGGGCAGGCAGGCAGCACCCTCCCCTGTGGTGCCTGGCGGGGCAGACTGCAAAGTGAGCCAGCAGCTGGTCCCCTCACCCTGGCACTGACTCCAGCCTTAGCTCTTGTGTGAACTCTGGAAGGCCCGAGCCTCAGCTTCCACATCTGCAAAATGGGTATCTGAGGCATCCATGTCCAGCACTGGATCACAGCCAACCCAGGGGAAAGGCTGCCCGCCTAAGGGACTGGCCCCGGGCATTGCCTTCATGCATCTGGATGCCCGGTAGATGCAGGAGAAAGCAAGGGTGATGTCCGCCATGCACCTACTGTGCACTGGGCATGGCAGGTGGCACCTGGCAATGGGGAGTCCTCCCAGAGGTACCTGGAGGGCACCTTTGTAATAGCAACGAGCAACTCGAGCAACTCGCAGGCAGGAAGGCACTTGCCAAGCTCACCCTGAACTGGAGCTATTATCAGCCCGATTGTTTGTTTGTTTTTCTAATGAGGCAAAATTCACATAACATAACACTAACCAGTTTAAGCTATACAGCTCCGTGGCACTTCGTGCCGCTCAGGGTTGAGCAAGCACCGCTTCTACCAAGCTCCAAGACATTTTCATCCCCCCAAAGAGCACCTCCGGACCCATCGGCAGTCTCTCCCCACACTCTCCTCCTCTCTCAGCCATTGGGAACTGGTAATCCATGCCATCGTGTTCCCACGGACTGGATGCGGTGTGTGGATTCTCACAACACGTGGTCCTGGAACGCTGCCAAAGTGCGTGCACCCCGCACCCATGCCCGTGCCCGCGCCCTCTTCCTTTTTGGGGCCGAGTACTATTCTAGAGCCCGGGTGGTTCCTGCGCCACTTCGAGCATGCACGTGTGATTTCGGCCCCCATTGGGTCCGGGGGGCATCTTTCCAGCACAGAGCAGGCAGTGGAACAGCTGGGCCATGCGGTCATTCTTTGGCTTTCTGGGCATGGCTGCCAGCTACTTACCACAGCCCTTCATCAACTGCTTGGTTTCAAGCACCCAGAGAAGGACATCAAGGAAGGAGAAGGGAAGGGCCAGTGGGAGGCCGACCCGAGCTGCTTGGAGCGTGGCCCGCAGAGCCCCCTTAGCTGTCGTCCAGCCCCAGGGCCCCTGCTGCCTCCGAGAAGCCAGGCAGTGTTTTTCCAGGGTGCCGCACGCTGCAGGCAGCTGCACAGCCCCCGTGTGGCCTGAGTCCCCAGCACGTGCCGCAGCCGGGCGATACTCAATCCCCAGCCGCCCGCCCTCTGCTAAGCCGACAGAGACCCCCCGGGTCTGAAGCCCGCACAACGGGTGGAGGAAAGGGTATCAGGCAGGCGGGGCTGGGACCGGGCTGGAATCCGGAGAATTCAACCCAAAGTAACTGTAGATGCTCAGAGGCCCAGCGGCCCGAGACATGAGCCGGATGGGAACCTAGCCGGGCACCAGCCACCACCGTGGGGCACAGCCGCTTGGATCTGGGGCCGGGACCTAAAGAACCCCCACTTCCTGCAGGGAAAGGAGCTCAGCAGGTAGGGTCTGGCCAGGACCGAGGGACAGCGAGCACAGAGAGTGACGGAGCCGAACTCCTGCGGAAAGGGACGTGGAGACATTTCCCAGGGGAGGACCCACAAGTGGCTGCGAGGACAGCCTCACACTGCCCTGGGGAAAGCACACTTGTGCCCCCGAACACTGGGAGGCTAAAAGCAGGACTGCAAGCTAGAGCCTAAGTTGGGTAACTTAACTTATACAGACGCTGTCTCAAAACATAGAGTCGGGGATGGAGCTTGTTATAAAGGACCTGGGTTCAATCCTCAGTACTGCAGACAAACAAAGCACCCACTGGGACTGGTACAATTGAAAACAAGAGAGCTGGAAAATAGCGTGTCAGTGAGGATGTGGAGGAACAGCCTTTCCCACGGCAGGTGGGGTATGGCACACATGGCTGCCGTGGCCCACAGTTTGCCAAGCACTGAACATAGCTAGCAATTCCTCTTCTTGGTAGACATATGAAGGAAGTGAAGACACACAAAAAATGTGTACACAGTGGTTGACAGCACAACTCACATCAGCCAACCAGTACAAATAACCCAAAGATCCACTACTAGAGGAGCAACAGATATATGGTATACTGACATAGTGGAATATTACTTGGCCATGAAAAGAAGCAAGGTACAGAATCATGCTGTCATGTAGGAGGAAGTAAAAAATCATTACACTGAAGAGTCAGTGAGATAGCTCAGCAGACTAAATGCCTGCTTAGGCAAGCACAGGGACCGGGGTTCAATCTCCAGCAACACATGCTTCACCAGCCCCACCCCAGGGTGCCCTGAGCCAGCCACTGAGTCTGGGCATGGTGGCACATGCCTGTAGTCCCAGCGCTGGGGAGGTTGAAAACAGGAGGATCACTGCGAGTCCGAGCTGCATAGTGAGACTCTGCACCCTATACTAAAACAAAACGAAACAAAACAAAAAAACTTCATTGAGTAAAAGAAGCCAAACATGAGACCACACATTGTCTTGTTCTATGGAAAGGCAACTCCAGGGAGACCAAAGACCGAGTAGTGGGCGCCCAGAGCTGGGTGGCAGTGGTGTTGTTTCTACCCAGCACGATAGAATTGTTCTGAGAAAAGACAGCTGCGCACAAGGATATGAGCTAACACTCTGTCCTATGTGCCTCTACCTGGTGTTTAAAAACTATGGCAATACCCAGGCCTCCTGTACCTGGTGGGGAGGGACCGGGGTGTGCAGGGCTTCAGGGTGGAGGACCTAGTGCCAGCTCCCAGGAGCCAGCCAGGAGGCAAAGGTGCAGAGGAGCAGCAGGGACCAACACATTGTCAGATACGGCCAGAATTCAGAAATCACGTGAGCTATGTCCCTCTGAGGGGGGCTTTCCCACTCAGGTGTAAACGCTCCTCCGTCTTTAGTCCATACGGGCTGCACTGCACCCGAAACTTCGAGTGCGGGGTTGAGGGTGGAGAGGGGTACACAGAGGGCAGGGGCTGCCCCAAGCTCCTGCCGGTGAGCCCAGAGCCAGGCCAGAGCAGGGACAAGACCCACTTGCTTTGTTTTTTGTTTTGTGTGTTTTGTGCTTGGAATTCAACCCAAGGCCTTCTCTTTTCACATGTTTCCGTTTTGAGGCAAGGTCCCAAAATCGTCCAAGGTGAATTGAGACCTGCAGTCTTCCTGCCTCAGCTTCCCAGAATGCTGGGGTTACAGGGGTGTGCTATCTGCTCTTTATTCTCAGGATGGGCTTGAATCCAATTCATCCATCCATCCATCCATCCATCCATCCATCCATCCATCCATCCATCCATCCATTCATGGTGATGTCCTAGCCACCCCACACCTGTCCTGGCTGCTCCAGGATGACACTCCTGCACCCAGGTAAGAACTGTGCTCAGAGGCCACACCCCGGGCACCTTAGCAGGGCCCCAGCAGGGCGGCCAGGTCGCCTGTGAGCTAGGAGGAGCTGGGCGGGGGCGGGGGTTGCTGGCTTTTTCCGTGGAAAGTTCGGCTCTGGGCTTGTCCCCTGCACTGTGCAGGTGCCCCAGAGCTCAGGCAGAATTCCACAGGAGTGGGCCCAGCTACGAGTCTGGACGCTTTCCTCACCTGGCCCGGCCCAGGGCTGCAGAAAGAGGTCCGAGAAGAGGTCCCGTCCTGTTACAGGGCGGGGTGCAAGCTCCCTCTCAGAGGGGCTCCATCACTCCTTCCTTCATCCGGCAGGGACCCCGGGGTGGGGGAGTGATGCGCATGGGTTCCTGCCCTCTGCCCTCAGAGAGCCAGGGTCTGTTTAGGAACTGGACCTTCTCCAGGAGCCCCGGGGAGCCCATCCCAAACAGGGCCAACCCAAAGGCATCTGTTGCCCTAGGGACCCACAGGAGGCTGGCTGTCCTCACAAGGGGCCACCCCCCACAGTGTCTGAGGGTCAGGGACAAGGTGTGTCACAGGGCAGGGCTGGTGACAAAGTGCTAGCAGGCTGGCAGGGCTTGGGCTCCACCCCTACTCCTGCCCAGACTCTGGAGCTACCAGGCTTCCCAACTGAGCCTCCCTTCCCACGCTGGTGGAATTTCGGTACCAGGTTTTTTTGCTTTTGTTTTTTGGTGGTACCAGGGATCAAACTCAGGACCTTGTGCTTGCCAGAAAGCACTTATTCCACTGAGCTATCTCCCCGGCCCCCTTGGTACCGATTTTATTGTCTCTGCAGTTGGTCCCTGAGCTTTGACGCAGGTGCATGGTGGGGCTAGGGCCCAGGCCACACCCAGGAGGGGCTGAAGCCACCTACACCACTCCCCCAGAGCAAACAGTGATGGTCAGGCTTCTGTCTGCCGGGCGAGGTCTGGGGTTGGGGTGCCCCGCTTACTGCAGGACCAGGACAAGACAGGTGGCTCTAGACCCGGGCCCCTGAGGTAGAAGGAGCACGCCCCGCCAGCGCCCAAGGTCAGGCCTCATGGGGACAGCGGTGCTGCCCTGGGGGAGGGTGCAGCTCAGGGCCTGGCTGGTGCGCAGGTGTTGTGGGCACTTATCTCTCTTGGGAATGGAGACCCTAGTCTGAGACCTGGGGCAGGGAAGAACCCATCAGAACTGGTTCAGGCTGACTTCAGAACCACGGCTTTGGTGCCGACCAGGCGCAGCTGGCCCCCCTGCGTCCAGAGAGCACAGGTCCAGACTAGCCCCCAGGCTGAGGCCCAGAGGGTCAAGGACGCCCCCAGGTAACATGGGGATGCCTCCAACACACACCCCTGCCCACAGCTCTATGACACAATGGGCTGGTCCCACTCCCATTTTACTGAGGAAGAAACTGAGGCACAGGGAGGTTATGAGTGGAGCCTGAGGCCTCACAGCTAGAAACAGGCAGACCCGGGTCCCGTGAGCTCACAGCACAGAACTCATGGTGCCAACTCCACCCAGGGGGAGGGGCACTGAGGATGTACATTGCCCTCCCACCCCGCAGCAGCAGGCACCTCCTGAGAAAGATTA